TATTTTTTAAGGAATCCCCACACTTTAATTAATTCGAAGCAAAATTCAAAGGGATACAAAGGGCTGGCTAAAAGGTGGCGTACACCCTCAGCGTACATAGGTTTTCTATAAGTGGGCCGGCTCATCGCTTATACACCCCATCATCTATAAGTTTGGTTTCTTTCTACGTTTTTTTCTATGGGTTTTTCTACCGGTGTGTTTGGATTTTTATTTATTATATCTATTTTGGATTTCCTTTTTGTTTTTACCTTTTCTTCTCTTTTAATTTCATTCTTTTAAGAAAATTCAAACTGTTGAACTTTTCAAAATTCGTGAACTTCTTGAAATCTGTTTAGTTTCTTGACGTTTGTGAAATTTCCAAATCCATGGGCTTTTTTTTCCTAAATTCGTGAACTTTTTTAAAATTCGTGTATTTTTTTTCAAGTGCATAAACTTTTGTCAAATTCATGATTTTTTGTTCAAATCCATGAACTTTTTAATATTCATGAACATTATTTCAAATCCATGCACTTTTTTTCAAGTTTGTAAACATATTTTTGAATTTGTGAACCTATTTAAATGTGTGATTTTCTAAAATTTATGAACATTTTTTTAGTTCATAAACTTTTATGTTAAAATCCATGAGCATTTCTTGAATCTGTAAAAAAAATCAATTCGCGAAAATTTTCAAAGCTGTAGACAGTTTTCAAATCGGTGAACTTTTTACAAATTCGCTGATTTTTTTGAGTCTTCAAGTTTTTTTCCAAATCCATGACTTTTTCTGAATTAAAAAAACAAGCACATGTTTTTTCCTCAAAAGTCAATGGTCGATAAGGCTAACCACAAAAAGCGATAGGCGCTTGCGCTTTGACGAGTGAGTTACTCAGCTCGCGTTCCTGGATTACCCACCCAAGGGGGCACGCGGGCATTGTCTTAGTTACCTGACACGGGGACCGATGACTAGGAGCTCTCACATAAGACGTTGTATAGGAGCACCTCGTGAGCATGTCCAGAACACACATGATTCATAAGGGCTCTCAGGGTGGTGACCCGCATGCCATATAGGATGGGATGTAAAAAAAATAGGTTCGGATGGAGCATCGAGATCCTCTGTAGGAGGCGGGTGCTTGGGGAAAAAATTATGGTCCGGTGCATAAAGCTGAAAAAGTTGAAGTAAAGAGTAGAGAAGCATGTGTGATGGAAGTCTTTATTTTCTATTCATTGATGCGGCCCACTAGTGATAGCCTGCATTGAGGAGAGAAAAAAAATCAATTTATATGTCTCAAACTACTTTTTGTCATGTGGCATTTGTATCTATATGCCACCATTCTAAGAGTTGGGGTCCACTTGTACATTCTTTTTTCCTTTTTGAAAAAAAGGTCAATTATGAGAGCAAGTTTTCTTAGGGCTATGGGAGCAAGTAACTAAAGGGTACCCCTTGCTGGGGCCTCGCAAGGGTCATTTCAGTGGGTTAAAAGCGCATCAAAACTCAAAAGGTATGCCCGATTGCCTCCACGTGTCGTGTGCCGGGGCTCCCTCTGGTTTTCGTTCTTTTTTTTGTACATATGTTTTCATTTTAGATAGGTTTTTTCGGGTTTTCTGATTTTCGGTTTAAGACCGCCTTTCCTATGTTTTGAAGAAAAAATTCCTGAATTTTACTTTTTGCGTAAAAAAGTTGTGCTTCCACAAGAAGCATAGATTTGCTTATGTGAGAAGCATTGTGCTTCTTGGGAAGGGAAAAAATGTGAATTTATTTTTCATGTGATTTATTTTTTTGCTTCCACGAGAAGTACAAATTTGCTCCTCGGGAGACACAGATATTCTTCTGCGAGTGCTTCTCGGAGAGGAAAGAAATCATGATTTTTTTGCACGATTTAATATTTACTTTCACGAGAAGCACATATTTGCTTCCGCACGAAGCACTAAAAAAAAGAACAAAATCTTGAAAACAATTGCGCAATTTCTTTTTTCTTCCACGAGTTCTCATGGGGACACAATTTTGTTTCTGCGAGAAGCACAACTTTAGTTGCGCTTCTCAAAAATAAAAAAAATCTTTATTGTTTTGCGCTATTTTTTCCATAAGAAGCACCTATTTGCTTCTCGTGTAGGCATGGATTTGCTTCCGCGAAAAGCAGGAAAGGGAAAAGACCATGAATTTCGTTGAGACACAGATTTGTTTACACGATGTGCTTCTCAAAAAGGGGGAAATCATGATATTTTTGTGCGTTTTTTTTTGTTTCCATGAGAAGCACGCATAGATTTGTTTACGCGATGCGCTTCTCGGAAAAGGGAAATAGTCATTTTTTTGCGCCATTTGTTTGCTTCCACAAGCACATATTTGCTTCTCATGGAGGCACATATTTATTTACGTGATATGCTTCTCAGAAAGGGAAAAATTTCACGAAATTAGGCAAAAAAAAATCTTACATGGTAAACATAGATTTGCATCTCGTGGAGGCACAGAGGAAATAACTAAAGAAAAAAAAGTGGTTCTGGCTCCGGCTTTTTTGTGAAAAAAGTTCATCGAAATCTGTTAACAAGAAATCTAATTTCAAAGATCTCGACGCAAGAAATCCTGCAATGAAACCCATTAGGTATTTGGACGCATGGTTCAAAAGATAAAATGTTTTATAAAAATCTAGACAATAGACAAGTGATGCAGAGGCAGTGCATCACTTATCAAAGCTTGAGAAGGTGAAAGTGACCTTTGCAAGGGATGCCTTTAATTAGCGATTTTAGCCAATTGCACATGTTTTTTCTGAGTGGATGGGCCAATTATACGTAGGTTGCCAAATCTGTTGTAACCAGTCTTGTGCACCCACGGCCTCGGTCCGCCTTGATGGGCTGGACGCCAATCTTTGGGCTCTTCAGTCAGCGCCCAGCCGCCGTGGGCCAAGCCGATGCCGAGCACCCACGGTGTTGTCAGGCCAACTCCGATGCACAGCTCTAAATGGACGTCCGTTGATTTAGTCTGTTTGAGAATGGGAATGGGGCCGCGCCTGTCAGAATTTGTGTTTGCGTCGATCAGGTGCCCAACGCACGGCCGCATTTTTGGCCGCATCTTGTCTCCGTGCATGCAAACGTGAAAACAAAAGGATGTTGGACACCGTCGCAGTTCGCACTAGTTCACGCCGGCCGGCAATACAGCCGGCGGCCTACAGTCTCATGCTGGTATCAACAAAGCCAGCGGCCGGCACAGGAGTTAGCCTTTAAAAAGACATGTTTCATGCCGGCAACAAAGCCAGCGGCCTCCACAGGAGCAAAACCTCAAAATGAACAGGTTTTTTTACACCCGCAACAAAGCTAGCGTCCGACACACCAGTCGGCCTCAAAATGAACTGACGTCGGCCACGCTGCCCTTCGGCGACATGGAGAACGGTGCCTGCCTTGGCTGTAAGGCAGCGGGCCGGGTGTGCTGGACGAGCTCGACCTATACTGAGGAGGAGGACCGACCGACGACCCCATGCTCGCCGCGACCATTGCAGCGAGAGGATGGCTGCCGGTGGTCGTGCCAACCCATGCATGAGAACGGCATGCGCCTTGGCGATGATGGATTCCTTCTCGTTGACGTCGGCAAGATGCCGCGCTTGACGCTGGGCCTCGGCCGCAACCGCGTAGGGCCTCAGCCGCCTTCATCTCCTACGCCTTTGCCCGTCGGCCCCTTACTATTCGATGCTTCTTTGTCGAGGAAGGCGATCTCCGTCGGCGTGCACTCGGATCGAGGCTTCCTGGGACCCTTCGGGACCTTTCTTCTTTGCCGCGGGCCGCACGGCCGCGCCGCATCGCCAGGGTTTGTCGGGTCACCGTCCATGGAGGAGGGAAAGAAGGGGGCGTGCGGGAAGGCTTGGACGAAATGGAGGAAAAATGGACGGTTGTGTCACTGACGGGAAGACCATGGTAGGACAGGGCGCGCGTCCCGCCGTCCGCGCGCTGTCCGTTTGGCCATAAACGCAGCCTAAACTTGGGTGGGGATGGGTCGAAAACGGACCGAAAACGAACATTTATCTGTTTGCATCCGTGGTTCCACCTGCTGAATCAACAGGTACTCCCCGGCTGTTCCGCTCACCGAATCAGCAGCGAGCGAGTTCGAATCGAACTAGACCTTTGCGGAACATGATGAAACACGCACGTGAGGAACGAACAGGTCGCGCGCTCTCTCTCTCTCTCTCACTCATCCACCATATTCGTGCTCGAAACAGAATAGGAGGACAGTACCAAGTACCAACCAGACTGCCGGAAATCAGGCAGGATTGAATGGCTCCACAGTGGGGAGGTTGTTGAGCTTGAGCCTAGCCCTTGAAGACGAATCATGATTCATGATGGGCCTGCATGCGCCCGTGGGAGCAAAAGCCTGCCCCCGCCCGAGCCAACGAGTTATGACTCGTGTGGTAGTAGGAGGATAGGATAGGATAGGATAGCCATCGCAAGCAGGCAAGCACAGTGTTACACGTCATCATGATAGCACCGGGCGGGCAGGCAAAAACTCTGCGGAGCGCCGCTGTGATTCTGACAAACCGCACCGGCTTCCCATCTCTGCGTTGCGTTCGGGCGAAGAAGTTTCAAGGGGGCCATGGCCAATGGAGCTGTCGCCTTGTGTCTGATTCCCGTTCGTGGCACGATCGATCGGACTTCCTCGGGGTCCTTGAACGGGGGACACCGTACTGGTAGTCGGTAACCATCACGCGTGCGTAGGAATCTGAACTGATGCATACTTCAGTGTTTGTCTCTCTTTGTTTTCTCAAGCTTTCTGTGTCTTGCAGGTGTGTTCATCCTGGAGCTTAACTAAGAACGATCATGTTAATTAAGGACGAACGAGCGAGCGGCCGACCGAGGAGACAGTTGGTCGTCGAGCACATCACATGGTACTTCAAATACAAACAAACACGTGGCGTAATATTATCACAAATGGTAGAGCTCATGCACTGTGTGCTGCTCAAACTCAACAAACAAACATACACGCAGAGCACAGATATGTTACATGAAGGGGGTCAGCTTTTGGCTTTACATCAGCATAGTGAGGGTTATTGCTAATTGATTAACCAAGGAATGACAACACACGCACACAAGCATGCGCACACACACAGAGAAAACACACGCACAGAAACAAACATACAAGGAGTACCAGAGGGTCATTGTTGCAGTGATCACTTATTTTAGCCTCTCGATCGGCAGTAAAATCATCCAGGGAGGCTCTTGTTGTGAGTGAACGAACGTCAAGCCAGGAGCCAGAAGTTCTTCTGCCACCGGGTGCTGACGAGGTAGCCGCCGACGCCCTTGCTCTGCCGCCGCACCGCCAGCGTCAGGCACTCCGCCCTGCTGATGCACTCCTCCACCAGCACCTCGCCGCGGCTCCGCATGAAGCTGCATCATTTCGTAACCACAAAACTTGTCAGCAACACAAGACCTCTTTAACAAGGCGATTAGGGTAACACTTGCCGCTCAACATGGCAGTTGAATTAGCATGGTGATAAGGTAACTTTTCAGAGGCTGTCATTTCTTTTTTGTGGGGGTTTAAGCCGCCACATGACTACATGAGTGAGTCGTACAACACCAGCAGCAAGTCAGCAATGCTGCAATGGTCAGTGCACAGTAGCCCCACAGTACTCCTCCCATCATGGTTTCTCGCTCGTACTCGATTCATCTAGAGTTTAAGCACAAAGGACAGGGAAAGGCATCCCTGATTTATGGCTGGCACATGGCTCTACTAGCTCTTGTGCAATAATACAGTAAAAAGGCAGAGCCCCCGTTCCTGCTCTACTCTCTGAACTCTGAAGACCTTTTTCTAAGTTTTCTTCCAAAAATACAGCTTATTCCCTGACAAAAAGTTCAGTTAAGCTGAGCCTAAAAATCCCTTCCAAAACTTATCACACACGGGCAGCTATCAACTTTCTCCGCTTGTATGGTGAAAGCCTCAAAGCTCTTATGAAGATCTTTGTATCGTGAAAGGCTCAAAGCTCTCCAGATCTTGGTTTACAAAGGACAATGGGCTTTACAGCGTGATGGGCCAAGCCAGCGGTGTATAGATTCTTCCCTTTTTAACTTTCTACGGGACGATTCCGTGACAAAGGGATACAGGTGTGCATGCATATGCATCTTGTGCTTTTTTTTTTGCGGGGTCTATGCATCTTGTGCTGTAGCGGTGGTACGAGAGGTGCATGGATGGATGCTTACCAGCAGAAAGGGGACGGCTTGCTTTGGCTGAGCACGAGCACGGACGCCTCCAGCTTCTTCACTTGGCTGAGGACGGTGGCCAGCATGGGCCCTTGGATCACAAGCGCCTCCACCTCCACCTAACCACATTCACCCAAACCAAATATTATAACACTGTAGTAGTAGCCGGCATGGGGCACTGTGAATGTGAAGGGACGACGAGCCCCTCCCATTTCACGGGCTAAACGACGACGAACAGTGAATATGCATCCACTGCCAACAATCACAAGTACACTCCGAAGCATTTCTAGTCTTTTACTTATTTTTAAAACAGTAACAAAAAAAATTCTATTTCTTTTTCATTTTTTATTAAAGGTTTCTTCTACAGTACAAGACTAGGCTACAAATTTTGAGAGATTTTTGGGCATATGATTCCCGGGCATCTAGGCGGGAACCACACAATTTTTGCCCCTTTCCAACCTCGATTTGATGAAGTTGAGGTGGCCCTTCTAGCTTTAGGCCTGCCATGATCCATGAATAAAAAGGTTGGCTATGATGATTCCCTTGCCTTTCCTTTTCATGAATGTTCTGATCTGATCTACATCTCTACCTAGCGTAACTCTTGCCTCCAAGTGGGCCAAGACACCCAAAAACACTTGATCTGAGAAAAGTCACAGTACCAACTAGGCTAGCACAGGTTTCTCTGTAGAGAAATGTTAGGGCAGTGCAGTGTCCTTTTATGCTTGAAGAGGCCCAAAAATACAGAGTTACCACAACTAGCATCTTTCCCCCTTCGTTCGCTCCGAAACAAATTCTAGTTAAGCAGGCAGCATTTTTTGTACCACTATATCCAGTGCTTAAGGTCGTTTTTTAATGAAGCTTCAGGTCATAATGCATACTGTAAACAAACTAGTCTACAACAAATCACACCTGTCGGTGCCACCTGATGTCCCTAAGAGTAATGAGATGCCATTTTCAAGTGTAATGAGATGCAAAACATCCTAGCTAATGTACTGCGAGGTACTACTACCAAGTGACCAGTTCTTCTTCTTGTTAGATGAAGAACAGGTCTGGTTGCAGGACGACAGAGAACGGGCACGCACCTCGGGCTTGCAGGCCTTGCAGAGGGAGCCGAGGGAGTTGGCGAGCGCGGAGGCCTCCTCGCCGCGGGCGCCGCTGCCGCGCGGCAGGACGTGGAGCAGCGTGAGGAAGTCCCCCCGGTTGGCGACGTGGGTGAGCGCCCACATCATGGCGTGCTTGGCCCCGGAGCTCTGGTCCACCACCACCATCACCCGCTTCCTCCCCGCCGCCGCGGCCTCTTCCGGGGCGCCGCAGAACCCGCCGCCGCCGCCGCGCCGGTGGCCTCTCGCCCGCGCCTTCTTCCTCGACCACCTCCTCGACCCGCGCCTGCCGGTGCCGGCGCCGCACTCCCATTCCTCCGGCTGGCGCGGCGCCGGCGCCGGTGCGCTGCCGCCGTCGCTGGAGCTCAGCTGGCGCAGGAAGTAGTCGCTGCTGCCCCCGCTGCTCCCCATCGATCCCCTGCCCTCCCTCCCCGCCTTGCAGCGCGCGGCGGTCGGCTCGGTGCGGTGCTCTGGGCGTTGGTGCGCGGTGGTGTGCAACGTTTGTTTCCTGCTTTAAAGCGGGGACAGGCGCTGGCTGGCGGGAGTAATAAGGACGGGGGTGGACTCAGAAAAGGACACAGGTCGCACACACGGGTGAATACACAAATTACCAGCCAAAACATCGGTAACTTTTCGAGGGTTACAAAGCCCTAGCCGTTGGTAGGCCACTCTGCCAGCATTAGCATTAGCAAGTCCAAAGAAGGATTTCACGTAGTCTTGTGAGTAGACGCTTGTCGTTGCTGGTGTACTTTGGGTACGGTGGTCTGGTAATTCGGTTGTTTTGTCGGGCGACACTTGTTCAGCTGCGGTTACATTTGGTAGTTAGGACACTAATGCTGGTCCGTATGGGTAGGCTCCGTACCTTTCAAGAGCATCTCCAACAGCCGCGCTATACTAGAGCCGCGCTGCAAATTAGTCGGTTTTAGCGCGCGCGCAACGCGGCGGGTTGCTCCAGCGGGCGCGCAAAAACCGCGCGCGCTATAACGAGTTGGACGCGTTGTCGGAAACACTGTCCTGCGCGGTGTATTACGGGCGCCCGCTGCAGCGCGCGGCACACTCTCTCCCACTTCCACCCCCACCCGGCCGCGCCGCCGCCGCCGCCCGCGCCCCCGGCGATCGCTCAGGCGCTTCCCCGGCCTATCCCCGCGCCGCCGCGCTTCCGCCCCATCCCCTTCTAGTCCCGCCGGCGCTCGCGCGCCTCCGTCGTCCGAGGAACAGCGCCCGAGCGCTCGCTGCCGCGCCGCGCCCGCAAGGTGTTCGACAAAACGCCTACAAGGTATGTATTGCTCAAACTTCATGAATTTGGGGCATGTTTTGAATTGTAGTTTTTATAGTATAGTATTGAACATTGTAGATGACTTCGTCGTTTGATTCTTCCGAAGAAGAATTTGATATGGAAGAGGAGGAGGATCTTGCAATGATCCTAGCTATGCATATCAATAAAAAACCGAAGCACGGTGGTTCGGTTATGGGTCGAGAGAAAATTTGAAGAGATAGGATTGATGCCCATAACAGATTGATGAAGAACTATTTCATGGAGAATCCCACATACCCGGAGTCGTATTTTCATCGTCGGTTTAGGATGAGCACCGACTTGTTCAGGCGCATTGCAGAGAAACTAGCGAGCCATGACCGGTTTTTCCAGCAAAGGAGGAATGCCTCCGTAGAGCTCGGGCATAGCACCTTTTTGAAGGTGACAGCCGCTTTGCGTATGTTGGCATACGGTATCCCGGCTGATCTAGTTGATGATCACTTGGCTATGGGTGAGAGCCAAGCCATCATGTGTGTCAAGCGCTTTGCAGTGGGAATTGTGCAAGTGTTTGGCGAGGAGTATTTGAGATCTCCCACTGCTGAGACCGCCGCAAGGCTATTGGCGATGAACAAAGCACGCGGCTTTCCTGGCATGCTTGGCTCAATAGATTGCATGCATTGGAGTTGGAAGAATTGTCCAAAGGCATGGCATGGGCAATTTCATGGCCAAAAAAGGGTTCCACTATAATCCTTGAAGCGGTGGCCGATCAGGAGACTTGGATTTGGCATGCATTCTTTGGAATGCCTGGATCTTTGAATGACATAAATGTTGTCAACCGGTCACCACTGATGAATAAGATTGCAAACGGTGAGTTGCCACCTGTGCAGTTTGTAGCAAATGGCCGTACGTACAATTATGGCTATTATCTAGCGGATGGCATCTATCCAAAGTGACAAACCTTCGTGAAGCCGTTGAAAAAGCCGGAAGGTAAGAAATATCTTGATTTCCACAATGCTCAGGCGGTGGCTAGAAAAGATGTGGAGAGAGCGTTTGGGATTTTGCAAGCCCAATTTACTATTGTGAGAGGACCGGCTAGATTTTGGGATCAAAAAATACTTTGGTACATCATGCACGCTTGTGTGATCATGCACAACATGATCATCGAGAATGAGCGTGGCCAGGATTTAGACTACTCACAGTATGAACTCTTGGGACATCCCGTGCGAGTGCGACGGAGGGCTGAAAGGGTAGCCCGTTTTATTGCCTCCTATCATGCCATTCGGCGTCCCACAACACACAATGAACTTCAGAATGATCTGATTGAAGAGTGGTGGGCATGGTATGGACGACAAAGAGCATCATAATTTCTGCATTACTTGTTGTGTTTATTGCATTATTTGTTGTACTGAACGATAAACTATTTGTTTGAGTTGTAATGATAACGAAATTGAACTATTTATTGTTGATTTATTTTGTTTGTTTGATCATTTTTGCTCTTCTTCTTTAAAATGTATATGTGGTTTGTGCGGCGCACGCGCTGTATTTTTGCGAGCTGCATTATAGCGCGGCTACTGGAGCCAGCGCTGGCGGCCGCGCTAAACCAGCCGAAGCGTGCGCGGCAAACAGGATTTTTGCGCGCGGCGCTTAGCGCAGCTGTTGGAGATGCTCTAAGACCATCTGGAATCTGGATTCTGGAGTCACTCGCGCCACTCTACAATTTTCACGTGAGCACCGACGGCGTCCCTTCCCCTTCGTTTGTTATCGAGGACAGGAACAAGCGTCGCTTTTTATTCAGACTGATTGATCAATTCAAAACCATCATCACCTTGGAACTTCGCGGCTCTAGAATAGATTGCACGTACCCGTGCATGCCCGGGCACAGGAGGACTTTTGCTTTTGCAAGTCTGGAAAGAAGCACGCTCGGATTTCTTCCTATTTTTCTCTCCGACAAAAATAGAAGCACGGATTTCTTCACCGCACAGCTTACCATCTTTAGTTGTAATAACCACTGGCCATAACCGCAAAATTTTCCACATTAGGCTGGCGTATCTGCGAGGAAATGGAGATATACACAGAGAGGGAGAAGGCAGTCACCTGTATATATCATGGTTTGGCTCGTAGCGAGGGTGGCCGGGATGGACGCTGAAGATTCTCGGCCCATCGCAGAGCGCGGCACGGCACGTCCCTGGCATGGTGTCAGCGCTGGATGCAGAGGAGGAACTTGCCGTTTCCTGAAAACACCGCCGCAGCAAAGCGACGTGACGTGTGGTGCCGGGGCCTGCCACCCCGGCGGACCCGTGCACATCTCAACACGGGCAATGCGACGCACCGCTGCACGTACGCACGCGTGCGTGCGTGCCGCACAGGGTCCGCACTCCGCAGCCTTTACGACGCACGTACGGCTAGTACGCATAAAGAAAAAGGTTTGAAAAAACAAACGGCTGGTACACAAAGAAAAGGTTTGAAGAAGAGAAGATAGCTGAGCAGTGACCATTTCGTGGTTTCTTTACTCGTTTTTGGCCGGTACCATCAGCTCTGGGCTACTTCGTGCCACTTCGGTTGAGACCGGCCACGAGCTGTACAGTGTACTGCCACGATGATAACGCTGGCTCGTTTGTTCGACTTTGTGTACGGTTTACTATGGACGACGTACAGCTTCTTCTACGGCCATGTGAGCCGCGGGAAAAGATATCGAAAAGCATGGATTCTTTTCGCCAAAGGAGCGAATAAAACTCATCACGCCGAGGCAGCGAAAGCAGAGGCGATCGGGACTTCAAGAGGCCTGTGAAGGATCAGTCAGCTCAGCCGTGCCCAGTGCACACCTACCGTCGCGCCAGAGAGGCAGGGCAGGGCTCTTCTCGTCTGAAGCTCGAATTAATATACGCCCTGCAAGATTCTCATTCCGCTGTCCAGTTTGATCCTAACAATAATATACTACAAATCACCTTTCACAGAAAGTGTGCTAACTACTAGTACTAATCGGGATCTAATCCACCTTTGGGATTAAAGGCAAGTGTTTTGACCTGGTCGTAACCGTACCTCTCTGCAAGCAATGGTGGTGGGCTGTAGAGGCTGTACCTCAAAGGCAAGGTCCTACTTTGTCCTAATAATGATTTCAGGTCAGCTTTTACTCAGGGGAAGGACAACAGTACTATTACTGGTACTACTACTAATTGTAGCTCCAAATAAACCTATCGTAATTGCTTATTTTAGAGCATAATTGATTTGCTACCAACATTTGACATTGTCAATATTTGGCAAAATCAAAAGTTGCCAACATTTGACAACTTTTTGTGAGATTGGCAACGAGAATTGGCAAGCAATCAATCTCTAGCCAAAATTTGGCATGTCAACTTTTGGCATCAAACCAATTATGCTCTTAGTTTATATATAAATCAATAAATGGGCATTGTCTTTACTGACATGTTTGGTTGCCATCTTTATTTTAGTCACTTTGCATACTTTGTCCCAGTTGAGCCTGCTTAAGATAATGCACATAAAAAATAAAGATTTGTATGTTGTTTGTTTGCCTGCACGTAGGCTAACTGCATCAAGGAAGCAATTTTTAGCGCGGTGTTTAGTTGTCTAAGTTGCACTTGTTAGACGAGCCACACATTGTTTGGTCGCAAACAACATAAGGTGTGATCACCACTTCTCATCTGCGGTGACCTTACCACACACGGTTTCAACATCGTCTTGGTCCTATCAAGAAAAAACAAATGACAATTCATCCTAGCTATTAACAAATGGCAGTACAAATCAAGAGCCATATGGTTGAATAGGGGAAAGTTCATCGATGCTTAGTAGGTGGAATTCCATCTTCTTCTTCTTCTTCTTCTTCTTCTTCTTCTTCTTCTTCTTCTTCTTCTTCTTCTTCTTCTTCTTCTCTGCCCCGATTCCCTCCGCACCGCAGCGAACGTTGTGTCCTACTTTTGCGCCCGAATCAACCTGGCTCGCTGGAAACTGTCGATTCAAACGTTCCAAGTGAGCCACGCTCTGGGGTGTTTTAAATTTTGTGCCGATGCGAGTTAGGCCTCCCTGTATGCATCCAAGCAAGTTTTTTCTTCCCGCTTGAGCCTAGTTGGGCTTTATGCAGGTAACCAGACGCATCATACATGTCATTTTGCTTCGCTGCCCACACTAGCCCAGCCAAAGAATC